CGTTGGAGATAGGCTGAAAGAATATTATTCACATAGTATTTCTCTAAGTTCTTGAGTTTTGTTTCAAAGCATACACTGGTAAAAAGTTTCAGAGCTGATAAAACTACTGTTGGTTGCTAGTCACTTATTCATCATTGTATAGCTGCATTTAATGTGCAGTGAAACGGTGATATTTTAAAACAGAATGGGAGAATATTTTGAAACCCCTGGGTAACTTAATTATTCATTGAGATAATTAAATAATAAAGGATATACTTCATTGTTACCAGAGGAGAAGGAGAAATCTTTCCTAGGATGAATCTATAAAACTGAGGAAAACCAATTACTGAACTAGGCAAATGGCTACGATGTCAGTTTAGTGAGAAGTCTGGTGTCTTAATAACTTTCTCAAAAACAAACTATATAGATTTGTTGAAAATATTTTTTGATAGCTTATATCGTTTGGAGAACAGACTGAAGTCTTGAGGCAAGTAATAGTTATTGATTGGTTTCTAAAGTCTTCTTCAATCTAGACACCTTTTGAGTTAGAATTTTCAGACTTATAGAGAGGCACTGTATCTTTTATCTAAATGGCATGAATTTAAGTAGCATATTTATTCCTGTATATCCTGTTTAGTATCATTTCTTTTCTTATCACCAACGCCCAGTGTTTATCGTCACTCTGTATTCAGTCCTACCATTCATGAAGCCTATTAAGGAGGGTTAAACCTGCTATTTGCTTACAACGGATTTTGAAGTTCATTTGCTTCTCACGAAAAGTGAATGTCTAGGATTGTATTTCAAGGAAATGTGAAAAGTTTACCATCGAGAAGTTCTAAACAAGTTTATATACTTTTTTATCACAGCATAGTTTTCAACCCAACCGATAGCTGCTGCTTTCAAGTCAGTATCAAACTTGCATATCTGATGACTCAGCGATTTACGCTAGATGAAACACTTATTCCCCAAGGTTTCCCATGCCCAGAAGGTCTGTTGGATAAAGGCGAAATGAAAAGCACTTACTGTTACAGTGTAGATTACTATGTTATGATGGTAGTTCGAGGGTGCAGTTGTCCTGCTGGCTAGACGGTGTGCAAGATCATTAAGGTACGATGCTACTTTCCCTATGTAAAGGAGGGGTTAGAAAAGGTTGGTCCCATAAATAGAACGCTCCTTCTTTTCCCACGGTCCTCCTCATTCTATCCAGCATTAGAACAATAAAATAACACACCAACATTCCTGAAAGGCTGTTTAATAGGCCTCAAACAGAAGGCTCATGTGCTTTGTGGTCACACAAATCTTGTCTTTTATGTCTTTCAGATGCCCTACAAAATCAAAATCTGTGGTGCAGGTAAACGAAAAGTATAAACAACCCACACACTTTCCGTGGTATTCAGAACCCAAGTAAACATAAATAAACCTTCTTACCTTTGTCACCTTCTTTGCCTTCACTTTCTGTTACCAGCACTGAGGTCCTTACAACTTCAACCTATCACCATGTGACCATTTTCAACTAACTAGCTATCAAAACACCATTCATAGTCTTCTAAAACCCCACCATGACTTTACATTGAATCTTTCAGCTTCTAAACCCTGTGCTAGATCAAACAATAGATACCTCTTACCAGAACTCTGGAATCCGGAGTCACAGGTATATGTTGTTTTTCTGAGACATGTATACAGGACTTGAGTATAGTTATTCATTTGACCTCACTCAGCCAACGTAGTGAATCTGTGAAGTTCACTTTACAAGTACCCGGAGGTCCGTGGTGGACTCGCCGATGTAGGCATAGCATTAAGTCCCCGGAGAGAAACCACACTTTTTGACCGGATACCAGTCAAGAGCTATCTGGGTACTATACAGCTGGATGAATCTGAAGGCAAAGATCGTGAGACTTGCCAATGCCTACTCATAATCTCAGCCTACGAGATCACCAAATAGAGTTCGGATAGTGAAAAAGATAAATTATATCAAAAGTTGTCAGTTTTGCTAAATAAAATAAATCGGTTAGATATAGCCATAACTGCAGGTGACTTCAAGGCTTTAGTAAGAAAGCTGAGCCTATCGCGTTAGCATACTGGGAGTATCTACGGCATCCCATGCCAAGGAATTGACAACAGGGTTAGTCTGTTGCAATTTTGCTCCGACAATCACTTGCTTCTGGCTGGCACTAACCTTAAGAATGAGAAGAGACAATGTCTTATATGGTGTTCGCCGACATCAAAGTAACGATGAACACAGATAGATCATGGCGCTATTAGTCATCACTGGAGAGGATTGGTGTAGGTTTGCCAGTCCTTGTGCATTATCTGTTTCAGGTGTCAGTACGGGTATGTATATATCTGCAACTTGCTGGGCACAAATAACAGGTGGCAGTTAAGTCAGTGCACACTCAATTGAAAGATGAGAACGCCAAGCATGTATTTAAGGAGGAGATAGCTAGACATTTTCCTGAACGTGACAACACTTTTCATCCTGGAAAAACCGGGTGTGATACCAACTCTGTTGTGGAAACAACAGTGTAGACAGTTAATAACCTATATCAAGGGATTGGTGGAATCCAGTGGGTTTCCTCAACCTCATCAGAACTGATCGATGTGAGAAGACTTAGTCCAACTGGCCGTGGCCGCAGTGGTGAGGAGTAAAGGTATCTGTTAAGTAAATTGACAAAGAGTTTTCGTTATGATAGCGAGAAGTGGTAGGTTGTAAAAGCGAGAGAGATGACGAAGGTATTAGCATTTAATAATGTCTGGAAATTTATATTTATTAGGCAAGAAGAAGAAGAAGAAGACGATCGGTGATGAGAGCATCACAGAACAGTGTGGTACCCTGATAACCTCTCATGACAGACGGATCGAACGTTTGGCGAAACACTTCTAAGTAAAGTTCAACCAGCCCTCTGCAACGCTTCAGTTGCCCAGCATCCAGCCCAAAACTTAGTGGAATATCGATTTCAGTCCTCCAACTCTAGTCCAAGTTAAAAATGCTGTTTCAAACCTGAAATAATGCAAAGCGGCTGGAGTGGTGGTTTACCACTCAATGTTTCTCAGGAAGAAGGCCAGAAATTACTGAGTAGAGATTAGAAGGTACGTGGCAATGCATGAGAATCAGGGGTAGTGTCATCAAACTGGTCTACTTGACTGATCATTCTTGTGATAACCCTAGGGAATCGGTTAGACCAGCATTGTATCAAAGATGTCAGGGCCCATAGTTATCCAATGCCTAACTGGAGACTGACAAAAGCAAACTTGAGAAAACCAAGCAGGCTTCAGAACTGGACGGGGGTGGATCGTTCAGATATTTGCCCAACAGCAGATTGTGGAACACAAGCATACTTACTGACGACTGAAACTTATCATTTTTATTGGCCCAGAAGCGGCATTCCACTCTGTAGACCATTAGATATGATAGCGTCTGACCGTGAAGGGAGTAAGAAGCAAGTGTATAGCACTAACTGAAGCTCTCTACTCGAACTTATTCCGGAATGTGAGGGCATATTGGTAATCACCATCAGAAGTGATTTCAACCACTGAAGTCAATCAGCGATGGCTGCTATCACTGTTAGTGTATAACTTCCTTATAGCTGTATTAATGGATGTAACCTCAGGTACGGTTGACTTCACAAGGACTGGCCTACTCTCTAGAGAGTATGTGACTTGGAATATGAAGATAACATTGTCTTGTTGGGTGAAGGCCGTGACGAAATACGGCGACTTCTGAACGCATTGAGCAGAAATCTGTGTATGTTTGGAATGCGGTTCGCACCTGACAAATGTAGGATGGTGTCTTATGACTAATCTGTAACTACTCCTAGTTTAATGATAGGAATTGAAGTGGTGGAGTGTGTCAGCCATTTCGCGTACTTAGGGAGTTGCATTAGCCTGAACTAATTGGTTGCTGACTAATTCTCAGCCCGTTTGACATTTTGTAACCTGCATCATCTACAGTGGCAGTGATATATCCAACTACTTCCGGAAGGACGGATATACTACCCTCGAGTTAGCTCTGACCTGTCAGACGGCTGTGAGACATGGTATTTGGGGAAAGAAGAAATGAAGAGATTACATTTCTTTGGGTATGGGGACCTTGTTAGCATTGCTCGTGTATGGCGGATCACCGTATGAGTGATATCAAGGTTATGCGAAGGATGTAAGGAAGTAAAGGCGGTCGATGGGATTGTTGGCCTTCAGTGACTGATGTGGCCTGGACATAGGTTGGACACACTGAGCCACCACCTACCTCAGTGTGAAATTCTAGAAGTTGGATTGCTCTGGAAGCTGGCTCAGAGTGGCTAGTTCCATACATAATTCTAGTTCATGAAGTCTCTGACTGTTAGGGTGGTGCGTATAAGAGGTGTAGACTGTATGACTGTAGCCTCCGAGACGATATGAATCAGTAGTTGAGGACTTGTTGATGTTTTCTAAACCTTGTATATTTTCACTAACCTCGATTTTCAAGTTCCTTCTTCTCACATACACCTTTGTCTACTCTGATTTCGGTCCTTTCTACTCACTTGTTCTTTGCACGCTACTATGAATTGTGAAAATTCGAACGGATGCATCTGTATGCGAGGTTCTACTTTGATTTCATGTGTCCATGATTTTCAAATACATGTTATTTACTGCTTATGATCATTCCAAACCGATGTAGTATTCGAAATAGGCAAAATAAACCTTCAGAATCCCTTTCTTTATTTCAAAACATATGGAACATGGTAGGTGTATTCACATCCATGTTATCGTACAGGAAACAAACATATAAGTAACTACCACTTTTCTTGTAAGATTATCTTAGGACAGACTTGTTTGTTCAAAAAACACAAACGAACATTCATTTTTTGTTGAAGTACTACCTATTTCCAGTGAATGATTAACCGAGTACACTAGGATTTCGAAAATAATGCAGCTCAAAAAGAACTTTTATACTTCACATAGAAATATGCTATGTACATGTGAATGAGAAATGATCAAGATGAGTTGCATGCAATGAATAGATATACAAGAACATATTATATTAACAATCAATAAGTGTAGTCTTTCTCTATTTTAGCCCATATTAAACCTTTCCAACGAGGTATAACTTCTTCTTCATCAATAACTTCGTGGTATACAGCGTTGGAATTGAATTCACTTGATTCAGTTTTGAAGTAAAACCTTGAAAAAAGAGATAGGAATAAGTACAGAAAAATGACTGTGAATGCTTGAAAGAAGTTACTGTAATAATGCTTACTGCAGTTCCGGCAGGATCATTCTGGTTGCTGATAGCATCAACAACAGATATTTCACTTACACCTGAGTCACTAGATTTTACATAAATTAGAAACAATTGTGAGGATAATAGATAACTGGGACCAATAAAGTACAACGAAGAATGTAACAGAAACTTCGTACTTCATGGTATCTTATGATGCTAACCACAATCAGGTTAGTAACATCATTATCAAACATCAGATAATGCTGAAACATGCATTCAAGGACTTCATGTGTCAACAGAGACTGATCACTTCTTGCTCAATGAACTGATCAACGGAAATTGCAAATATCACTGAATATGTGGTTTATGTTCGGATAGTTTATCACACACTCTTGCAAATATACAATTATGAAACATATACGTATTCTAGAATGAGAAGCTGTGACCTGTGAGGTTAACCAGTAGGCAGTGAGACAGATATCAGCTGAAGACCTTGGTGGATAGTCACACTATATCCCGAACTGACAGAAGTAGGATACTGTGAACCATTGAAATTCGATCCAGTTGTTGGATTGGTAATGCATTCACTGTGAAACCTGAGGGCCCTAAGTTCGGTGGTGGTGGTTGGGTATCTTCATCACTTCTGTCTTCTCTACCTTCACCTGAAGTCCCGTCTCAGCTGCCTTGCCTCTTCTGTCACTTGTTAGTTTTCACCTGTAGATCTTCGAGCTTGTGCGACAAGACATTAGACATCACATCACATCATCATCATCATCATCATCATCATCATCATCATCATCATCGGCGAAATCCAAATCTTCTCCTGGGGTCTTTTCACCAGTCTAGCCAGCGTATGCTCACATTCTCACACTTGTCTGTTGTATGGTCCAGTCGATCACAACCAAGAAGATCATCGGTGATAAAAGGCGGCAGCCTTGTCTTACTCCTTCCTGTCTTCACTTCCACTCCAAACATCACTGAGCATTCCATTGTGGTATGAATCACTTGACATGTAGCATCTTCATATGGTATATTGCTGTTGAATGAGGTGGATATAGGTCTGTGTAACTAAAACCGTAGTGAGTTGACTGCCATTCTATGCTTTCTTCTATGATGATGTATAGCGTGGCGTTGCAATCTGATCCACACATGATTGGTTCTTCTTGAAACCAGCCTGTTGTGGTTGCCATTTCGAATCCAGAGCATTTTCTAGAATCTCTAGGATGATGCGGCTTAATATTTTGCTTGCTTGAGGTGGACAGGGACAGGAGCATGATTCCTCGTCAGTTCTTGCAAAGATTTAGGTGCCCCTTCTTTGCGAATTTGACGAGGTAGCCCTTCTTCCAATCGATTGGCAGGTACCTTTCATCCCTTCTGCAATAGAGGTTGTGTGAGTATGTCCGCTGTTGTCTCTGCCTCTGTTTTCAGTGCTTCTGGTTGAATTCCATCTGGTTCTGCTGCTTTCCCGGATTTCAGCAGTTTTAATGGCGTCCGAGACTTCACTCCTGCTTTTGTCGGAAGGTTTGTGTCCACTGGTAATTCTGTAGCTGGGCTGTTGATGGTGTTTCTGGACGAGTTGCAGGTGGTGTTGATGGTGGTTGATCCAAGAGTTTTTTGAAGTGATTAGCCCATCGTTTCATTTGTTTCTCCTCTTTGGTAACTCGGTTTCTATCACTATCTTTCATTGGTTTCATCCTTGTTGATATAATGTTGTCAGGTCTCTCCTACCAGCTGCCTGTTCAGCTTAACTTTCCAGTGTGTCGTAGAAGTGTCCTTTGTCATTCATTTCACCGAGTGCTTCTCGACACATGACGAGTCCCCTTCCTGTGTTGTCCGCTACCAGTTTGACATTCATATCGCCCCACCCATTAGAATTTCTATGTCACCATCTGGGGTGGAGTCTTGTCCAGTACCACTTCCAGTTGTCTGTACAACTCCACCTTCTTCTCTTCTCTTCATCTGCATTATTTGTAGGTGCACAGTGTAGCATTGTATGATAGTAAATTTCTTTTCTTTTGAGTTGAATCTTGCTGTCATGATCCTGATGCTTGAGGAGATTGGTTCCCACTGTAAGAGAGCCTTCGATGTTGTTTGCGACATCATGATAGCCACTCCCAAACTCAGTGTGCTTGTGGTTGTCGTCTGCGTGAGAATATCGGAGTAGATAATTGACTCTGCAGTTGAGAATTTGGAGAGTCACTTCCATTCCATCTACTTTCGCAGATTCCTAACGCTCCTTCTCATCTCTTAGCCAATGTGGGCTACTTTGGTAGGTTCAAATATTGTTAGGACATTCCATGTCCTCATTCTTGCTTTTGCTTTCATCGAGAGAAGAGAAGACACATCGGGCGGTTGGCTTCGTTAAGGCTTTCACCAACTGGCGTCATTTCGTCTCTCCAATTTCAGCAAGGAATTAATTTGTTTTTATTCTTTAGATTTTGTCTGTGCTTTGAAGTTTCTGTAGCGGTTGGATTGGTTTTGTGGGGTAGGGTAGCTGGCCCTATACCCAATCTTCCCTCCTTGCTGGATCAAATAGAAATATGCCTCACTGACTGGTACATAGAATTATCCATGAGAATTGGAAACAAAAGGGAATTTAAAAACCCACTGAGAAATCATTTATCCTCCATACTTAAATGAACAAAATTATACAATCGTAAAATATTTAGCCTAGTAATTCTTTTCTTCAAAGTATGAATATTCTTATTATGTCATAACTGTGTTTTAAATTAGGTGCCTAACTGTTTTCAAAAACAGATGTAGGGTGAAATTTTGATAAGCGCGAGTGAAAGACGACCTTCGTCATCTATAGCCAAACATATTATAGAAACGGGTCACAGCTTTCAAGTTTTATACAGAAACTGTCAGGGACGCATACTGAGATTTGCGGAAGCAATAGCCAAGTTAAAGCCACCTTCACGTGTAAAATGCAGTTTATCCTTGCGCTACACCTATCTTGTGAAACCTTATTTGCTTATTAAGATTAGCATGAACTATGTCATTCTTCCTGTTCGTCCTCATCTTTCTTAATTTTAACCTCCCCCCCTCTCCCATCATCTTAACTGTTCTGTTTGTCTTCCCATCTTTTGGTTTAATACAAACTGATTTGACAAGTAAATGTACGATCAGACTGTTCGAAATGTATTGCACAAATCGTTTAGCTAAGCGACAGAAAGGTCAGAGGTCGAGCAGAGGGACAGCCAACAGGAAAGTCTACACAATCAATGACATAACAATCGAAGGAAACACCAATCACAGACCACATCGTCAGAGCAATCCACTAAATCACTGACGGAGAGATATTGACAGCTCACTTCATACTGAAGTCAGTGCTGATGATGTCGTCTAGCAAGACGATGAAAGCTTCACGATTAAACAACCTTGCTCAGAGAACACAATACAACCAAGACCATCCACCTGAGCTACAAATATTCTCCACTACATCACACTGTTCAGATAACTTTTGTCTTGTAATTACACTATCCAGATCCATAAAAAGGAATAATAGTTTCAAATTACTTGTTCAACCAAAAAACTTCAAAATTAAACTTACCGTTGTTTAGAAATTTCGAGTTCACTGTATACTGTATTTTCGTTTCTTTGCTGGTTGGAATACAATTGATATATTATTCTCTCCTTAAAGTTTCTTAAGTTCCACTGTTCATCTTCACATATAATTATGTATGGCAGGGAATTCTCTGATATGCAGACTATACAAATCACCGAATTTTTCAACAGGTGACCATCTTTATCATTGATAATAGTCGATAACGAAATCAGTGATTGGGTCGAATGACAACCTAACAGTGAATTTCTATAATTGCTAATTCTAGATATATCTGAACAGTTAAAATACGAATGGCGCCTAGTAAAACAAAGGTAGTAAAATGATAGAAATGATAAGTTAAAACAAAAATTGAGAATAAGTTCAATATATTTATTTTCAAAAGATATCTGTGGCTAATACATGGTACCTAGGTAACCAATATTAAGAAAATACGGAAGCCATCTTTGTTTTGCATATATATATATATATATATATATATATATATATATATATATATATGAATGGGGATTTTAATTTTTAGGTAGTATTCACCACGGACTGATATAAGTTGAGAAATCATTGAAAACCTGGAAGTACTGGACAGCCGTTTCATCCTAGTTTGGGACTCTTCAGTAGTACGCACCCACGACCCACCAAGGGATCAAACTCAGGGCCTTCAGGTTTCACGGCGAACACGTTAACCACTCAGCCACTGGGTTGGACTTTAGTGGTTCACAGTTTCCAACTCCTGTCAATTCACAATATAATGTGACTGTCACCTAAAGTCTTCAGTTGGGATTCACTTCTGTTCCGATAGACTGACCCCACAGGTCACGGCTTCTAAGTAGGACTTCGTGAGATCCATTTGGAAGCGTGTCACTAGTGAGTACTGTACAGTAATTTATTTATGAGATGAATGAGGATTTTAATTTAGAGGTAGTATTCATCATGAACTGACATAAGTCAGGGGACCATTGAAAACCTGGGAGCACTGGATAGCTGTTTCGTCCCAGTATGGGACTCCTCGGCAGTAAGCACCCGCGGTCGTAGTGATAACACACCAGAAAAGGAAGCATATATGTATCACTGAGTGGTATCTTGCTTGGTCTTCAAAATATATAATAAGTGTCTTGATATACCATTTTTGAGCACACTGTCGTGCACAGGAAACTCGTGAATTCATAGATATGCTGCTGAACTCCTAGAATAAAATATTGATACATATTATTCACTCTGAAATGGTGAGTTACCGCTAAAAACTAGAATTCTGAATAATTGTTTACAAATAAGGATTGTGATAAATTCTTAGATGCATAGTATGAACTGTTTTTCGAGTTGTATTAGATCTTGGAACGTGTTTTAATTCAATGAAACAGGTTTTAGAGTCGGTAGATGCTATAACTTCTCTAGTCCTATTGTTAAATTACGACGCATAGATCAGTTTAAAACTCGAAATACAAATTTTTTATTGCGTAACAATCTACTGAGACAAAGAGCAAACTTTCACTACCTACTGTAAAGGCAAATAGTGAACTCACTATGTATATCTTATAGAAGATGAGATTCACTTGTATGAGAGACAGTAGAATTAGATCTCTTGTTTCACACTGGCCACTTAAGATCAAAAACACTATTATCGATGATACGGCTTGGATACTGCCTGCCTCAAACTTAAAACAATAGATGCGTCATTAAATAATTGAATATTCACTTGATGGGGAACTAAGAGAGGAATCATTTTATATTCGTAACAGTTTCTAAGAGCTCACAAATTCAACTGAAGGGATCTAGTTATTATTGTGTCTAATATGGTTTATTTAGAGTTAGATATGTTCACTACATGAGGTGATCATGACCCATAGTGTTATTCATAGCTGTTTGTTGGATATATTCTGTCAATTATCATCACAATAAGCAGGAAATCGAAACCAGTTAATTGACTGGGCTTTTTTTTGACGCCACTGTAAAGTACTCTGGTTAAAGACTGTATGCATATTAAATGTTTATAGACTATCCCTTCTATAATTGCTAACCAGGGTTTCAGTCACCTCTTATTTTTTTTCACCTATATTATACACATTAAATCCACCCTTGCATTTAAATGAATTACTCGTGTATTCAAGTAGAGAGGTTTTTTTTATAGGAGTTTATATTCCTGGGTAAGATTTTGTTTATGTGTTCTTTTCAAGAATGACAGTATGATTGAATCACACATTTTGTATTCAATAAAAAAAACAACAGTTTGTTACTCCTATAGATATTGATAGAGGTGAGTATTTGTTTATTCATCTGTCAAGAAGACGACACAAGGAATAGGTCAATCAGACATACCATTCAACGTCATCTAACTGTTACCATTGTATGCAAACATATACTTGTATTAAAATTTGACACCATAAATTATCGTAAAATGATTTATTCTCCATAAAACCTGTCAAACAAATGGTGTACACTACGACGACTACAACAACAACAACTACTACTACTGCTATTACCATGGGTAAGTAGATTATTTCAACAATGTGCCTTAACGTTTCACACCTTTAGGAAGACCTTGAATTAAAAATGAATTGAGCTTATTGTTATGATTGGGAGTTTCAAACAGTATACTAGGTGAATAGGTAAGGGAATGGTGGTAGGCAACATTTTAAATTTCCAAAGCTAGACTATATCAACAGAACAACTGTGAAAAAACTTCTTTCCAATTGAAACTCATCATTGGTATGAGTACGCAATTTCATGCAAATCTTATGGTAGATTTGTCATCTTTGATACAGTCTAGGTGAATATGAATATCTAACTTACCTGATCTTTAGTCAGATTATGGCAAGTCATGACTCCGTATAAAGCAGATGAAGTATTATGATGATAACACACCAGAAAAAGAAGTATAAGATTTCTTGAGGATTAAAGCTTAACAAATAAAGACTTGAGTAATAAAGGTCAGCATTTCAAAGGTAGTAAGACGATGTTTTGTGTACAGACAAGAATTTCAGACTGTATGTGAGATCTACCGTGACAAATTAAGGTGTACACACTTAGTAATTCATTATAGCCACCGAACACAAATATCCAACTTATTATGAGAAAAAGTCATTACGTTACAAGAAGCATTTATCTTACTAGTATTCTATGGATATTTTTTCACTTATATATGATAGCTACCTGCGTACCCATTTAGTCTGTAGTGATCGGTACTAATCGAAGTGTATCGATCAAGTTTGCACTGTAGCAACTAAGCTAAGTGAAACAATACTCTGATGCACTGCATTTTAGTGTCAGATATTGAGCGTCAGTCAGTAAGAAGCTCTGTTGTACCTAGGTTTTATGCTTATTAACATTCACCAGCAAATATGAAGAAACTGGTGTTCGCTCGGGGGTTCAAACATGCGTCACTCAGTGATGGAGTTTGAAACTTAACACCAAACTGTTCAGAGTGCAAGTGTTATGGATTTATAATCCTCCTTCTCATTTATTGATATCATACCTTTGTCAAGATTATTACCTCTAAATACTATAGACTTTAAAACCTATGGGGCTAACAGTGGGATCTAGGAGGCACTTCTCGTCCTATTTGAAACTCGTCAGTTGAATGTGCCTACCTTTCAGTGACTGACATTGTTGGCGACAGATCTCAAACCCAGCACCGATTAGTCCAAACACTAGAGTGTTTTCCACTGAGTCACGAAAGTCACCAAAGCTTAGAGTCAACATCCCTCAACGACTACAAGAATAACTTGTAATACAAAACGATAGCTGAAGTACACGATCTTCAAAAACAAAGTAGGAATAAGAAATGCATCTCCTTATTAGTATTTGTTTTACACTGTTCATGAAACGAAATAGAAGAAGTTCAGGCAAACTCATTAGTTTAGTGATTTTTATTCTCAAACCACTATTTCTCAACACAATCAGCTGATTTGAATGATTTTCAACCAACCTAATTTCTTTTCATACAAAGTCATACTTATTAGAGTCAATTGTACTAAAATACTACCCATAGTATCAAGTTAAATAAATATTTTAATGATGGATAGTGGCTAGCAGTAGAATCCAAGACGTATGTTTCGTCCTATTTGGGACTCATCAACTGGATATGTCTATCTCCTGTTAGCCATTATTAATATATAAGTGAAACACAGGCAATATCAGGGCCTTCGTGCAGGAGCGCATATGCTAATCGATTCGGTTCATTTAACTACAGGATAATATAAGCAACATAACCCAAATAACAAAGCATGTATGATACTTAATCCTAGATAAAATGATGAATAGTAATTACTGTGCTTTAGATGAGTAAAGACATAAAGTACAAAAAATTAATTTATTATGTTCACTGTCCACTTTTAAATATTTAATTAGTTTATCTTAGATAAAAACTAAGTGATTCTCATGAGGATAAAACAAATTGAAAATGAAAATCAATTGAATATCTTGTGAAAATGAAGGAGAAATTAGTTATTTTCTGTAAAGTTGAAAAATAAACAGAAAAGAAACATACATTTCATGTAATGCTGATACTCATATCATGCTGAAAGAAAACTGATATGGACAGTAAAATGATTCACTTGCTTCTCTCTTATTCATCTCATCTTCCTGATATTTTTATTTAATTATAAATTATTTCCTAGTTTTGACTTATATATTTATTCAATTGTGAATGAATATCTTAGATTTCTTTTTTCTTTTTGGTACTGAATACTGTGCATAGTTGAGTTAGATTTCGTTTCATGAGACTTATATTCGAGTAGTAGAGTATTCTTGGGGGATGAAGAATTGTGATAAAAACTAAGAGATATGATACCCTGCTCATTGTCAAGACAAATAAACTGTTAATAGTTAACCATGTATGAAAATCAGCCTGTTCTTCCTTTTAGTTGAATATTTAGGTAGTAGATATGGAGAGTGTATGCAGTTTACACGCTTGAACTGATACACCTAACGCAGAATGCTCCACCTGTTAAATTTTTAATGACTTGTTAATATTGTTAATTAATAAACGTATTATTTATAAAACTGTTCAGTTAATAAAAGATCAGTAGAAGGTAGGATTTTATTCATATACACATCAGTTTGATACATTCTTGTCTATGGGCTCTTGAATAATAACCTTAAGCTTCATCCTAGATGGTCTCTTGGTTCCTTGAAAACAGAAAGAAACGGCAAAAATGACAAACATGTGCAAAAAGTAACGATTTATATACATTTTTGATGGTCTTAGTATATTCTATACTTTCTTGGAAAGTCATTTAACCAACGTGAGACCCAAACGTATGGTCGCATAGTTTTTCACGAACGCTCGGCATGCTATGATTACCTGTGAAGGCCTGTCGGGGGAATTCCAGGTTTTTTTGAAGAATCTAGGAGGTATTATCAAACTCCATAACACAGTAGCATATAGAATCGTAGATTAATATTTTTACTCACTTTAGAGCCATCAGTTAGGAGTGTTAGTATCTCAAAGATTGTGAACCATGATTACATAACATCAAGGTTATAATGGGGATAAATGTAAAAGAAGCTAAGGTGTGGAAAAAGGTGATCAGTTCAGTCCCACAAGTCAATCTGTGCACCTAAAATACCAACTCGCAATTCAATATCCAACACCAGATATCGTCTTGAAAAAGGTATTCCCCTTCATAGTTTTATCAAAATGAATAATGTCTATTAAACAAGTTCGTATCGTGTATTATATACCAATGTATACAATGAACGTATAATTTCATGAGAAAGAACCTTTTAGGATAACTAACGCAGTGGTGTCTATGTAATCAATAGTCAAGTCTCATCAAAGTTATATCAGTGAAATCATTTTCAGAAATATTTCCAATACTACTATTGTTGATACAACGCGAAAAAGAATTTCCAGCATTGTTTGGATTTGACAGCAAAATAATGTGGATAATATTAAAGAATATATTGACCACTTGAGATAACCGTGGTTTGGTAGACTTGTATTGACACTGGGTAGTGAATGATTGAGGGCGAAATGAAAATCTGATCAGCATCCACGTCTCGTAGCTCATTTAGTAGAGCACAGGGCAAGAAATCTGGTAGTCATTTACTCGAATCCTGTCACGGACCCAATCTTCTTTTCGCCTTCAGTCATTTAGTTTATCAGAAACTTCACTGTATGCATAACAACCAGTCTCTTTTATCTTAGTGTCGATAGTGTACTGTTAACAAGTGTTATATCAAGTTGATGGAAGTTGACCAGTAACTCAGTTATCCATCATCAATAAAAACATGATTTTACTAATCTGCACCTAAGATTTGGTGGCGATGTATGGATGACACATTTACTATGTTGAAATCAGAACATATCGACATTTCCCTCACACATCTAAACTCAGTAGTGGACTCAGTCCAGTTCACTTACGAGGTAGAAAATGAACAAGGATAAAATGAAGGACAGATGGTAGTTTCGATATTACCGTCTACAGGAAACCGACACTGTCCAACACCTATCTAGACTTCAGGTCATCTCATTCAACATCAGTTAAGGCAAGTTTAGTCTTTCTGTAAACGATAGAGTTAGAAAACTGACTAATCAGTGCAAGGACTCAAACAAGGAAATGAAGCACATAAGAGAAGCGTTAATAATTAATAATTATGCTCTACCGTCTAGTAAGAAATTCGTACGAACACCTAAAAAACGAAATAATGACAGTAACATGAGTATAAATAATTGCGACAATACAAGTAGGAAGGGGTTAACAGCCACCACTGTGTTATCCTATAAGGAAGGTACATAAGAAACTTTACTTAGGATCCTCAACAAAGCTGGGATTAGGGTGGCATTTAAACCTACAAACTCGCTCAGAGATAAGCTTCGTCAGCTCAAGGATCCGATAGAACTAACTAAGCAAAATAACCTAATCTATCAAATTACATGTAATGACTGTGAGGTTAAGTGTAAGGGGTCAAACTAGCTGGTCAGGGTTATTTAGAATAGCCGAATATAAAAATTTAGCTAAATATACAAAGACAGACTCGAATAAGATTAATAATCTATTGCAGTGCATAGATTAACACACAATCACACGATAGGGTGGGATAAAATTAATGTACTCAAGTCCAATATAATTACGTGGGGAGGCAGAGAGAGAGATTGGTTACTGAATCTTTGTTCATCGAATCGACACCCAACACACGTAATATGATGAGGTAATATCTATACCAAAGATACGGGAAATTCTACTACCATATGTGGTGATAAGACTATAAAAATCAGGTATCAAAAGTAGTGTGATTGTGAGCAATAACTTATATTTGAAACGTCATCAAGTAAATAATACTGTATCACTGTGTGGACCTCGTATCTACGTTGATAGAGCATCGGGGGTGGTCGCTGGTTCGAATCTGGCCACGTTCAAATTTTCATCTCACCTTCAGTCACCACCTAGTTTCAGTACTAGTCTGTCAAACAACGGCTGTCTCGGACAGTTAAATGAAAATAAACAAATCTAGCTTGAAATCTGCTCTAATCTTCTAAAGTGTCTTGTAATCTCAAACTCTTGAATCTAAAGTGATGAGCCACAAAAATCTACTATTTTCCTAACCAAATTTAACTACTTCATGAAAGTAGCTCTTATATGATAGGAAATTTAAGTTGGGTTGTAAAGAAACTTGAAAGTTCCACTTAGTAGAAATGAACTCATTGACATAAATTATAATTGACCTACTGCTAAAACTAAGGTGTATTTGTTTGATTGATGCAGACTATTCAGATGGGAATAAACTTGTATTTTCAACATTTATTGATAATATTATATGGAATAATTTTCATCAATAGAATGTATTCTATGTCAACAAGTGATTGATTCGTCTGTAACCAAATATGGGTTGTGGTCGGAGTTGATTGAATGACTCTCAGTTTTCAATACTATAACCCTGATAGAGATCTTTAACGAAAATAACTAACAAATCACATGCTAGTATATCCTGAGGAATCACAAACAATTCCTGTCAAGATGTGTACGATTTCTACGCTTACACTAGTTTGAGAATAACGAGTTGATAGGAATAGATGAATGCTATAACTCCGGTAGTCATTGTTTTGCAATATGAAAGCTAGCCTATTATTAATACAATATGCATACCTTTTTATAAGATGTATTCGGTTACTTCGGTCATCTTTTCTCATCAAACATGCAGAGATATCAGATTTATTGTCATCTTGCATAGTTTCTTGTAAAATTTTGTTATAACAAACTGCTGAATGTTTCTCATTATTTGGTTTAATTAGGCCTCTTGTAGAACTTTCATATACTTCTTTTAAACAAAAGTTTTTGCAATTACCATAGAAGTTGTCGTGTAGGCAATAATACATTTGATAGCTACTTTGATCATATGATTGACAGTAATGACTATTACAGTCATAAACTTGGGATTGATTTGACATATCAATAGGTTCATTGAGTAATTCTTTCACCGGATCAAATCCATATTGTTTATTATTACTGTCACATGAACTCTCTTGAGTTTTTAAATCCTGGTAGACTTGATTTCGCATTAAACGTTTTCGTAGAGTATTACCTGAATCTATAAATGAGAGAAATATAAAATGGTATGTAATAAACTAAGAATGATAGATACATTATCGACAAACAAAACGTCGTATAAAACATGCTTAAATAAGCTGAGTGATTATGGTTTAGCCTGATTTAGCGGTATACTTCATTTTTCTTGACTAACTCATCCCTTTCGTACTCTTTTCATCACAAATTCATTCAATTTTGGCAAGGATCTCACCTTATCAATTAACGGTAGTTCATCGTTCATTACCGTCTAATCGTTTAAAAAACTTTCAGAAGTTCTGGCTAAGAGCATTAACTGATGGAGAAGCGTGCTTGTTGACAAGACTTACTTGTTAATCCTTATGGTTGAAAGTGCTACTCCTTGATGAGTGCCAAAAACCGTGAAATCTGTATATGTAGCTTCCTACCGACTGATTACCTATCCATCGGCAATATGAACCAGTAAGCTTCAAAGTAATAGATAAATATGAATGTATTTTTTGTGAAATCTACTTGTCTTATTGTCAGTGTAACAGGAGGTGAATATTTTTGAAGAGTTTTATCCACAATTAAATATCTATCAACTTTTCCTGGGTTTTCGTTGGTTAGGTAAATGACACTAGTTCACGATACAAAATATTAGGGAATAAATGAGCAGCATTTTTAAGGGTGAAGTAGATCTTTGATGAAGATATTTCTTAGCATTTTGACTATCTGAGACAGCCATAGTTTAGTAGACTTCTGGTGCTACTGGGTGACGACTGCAGGTGAAATGAAAAAATTTAGGCCACTACAGTATTTAAAGAAATTTGTTCATAATGAAAGTGCTGTTTAATTTCGGTCTCCATCTCTGCCGTTGGCTACGTTGAGTCGAACTCATAACTTGATGTCATATATTTAGTAGCAAGCTAAGATTTACTTTATTGATAACTTATGAGTCGAACATCCCATATACAAGTTGATCGGTAAAGTGTTAATTAAAAAAAACAATCTAAGAAATGAAATTTTGTAGTAACTTGTACATACCTACTGAAATAAAGATTAATTCTAAAGTACAAGTGTATACATCTTAAATATCGGCCAGCTTAACAGGAACAAACATTATCCCAATCAAATCTAGGCGGTTAAATGTTTCAACTAATCTTTCAAACATATACTGCGATAGACTAAGGTAAATGTTGCTTCATAACCCATGAGACAAACAGTTTAAACAGGAAGTGTTCTAGCTGAAATAAACATAGATCGACAGCCAAGAATGCTTGCTTCCTTCTCCCTTCCGTTGCTTCCGATGTGTTACTGCCAATATAATATGGTTCAGGGCTACTGAAATGTATTTTGACAAGACTAACAGACTATAAAAATCTAGTTATCAACATCTCAATGTTAACCATGCATATCACAACATTAAAATCAAATAGAAGAAGGTTAATATAAATCACTAGACACCAACCTAGTGACTCAAAGGTAACTCACTCATCACAGAGTCTGAACGCCTTCAGCTCATACCCTAGTGGAAATTAAAAATTTCTCATACTACAAAGAAATAGATGTTCAGTATCCCCAGGTTTCCAATGGCTCTCCATGGTTCTCAGTCCATGGTGAATAACACCATGAAATTATCATTTGGATATCTGAAATAGCTTTAGTTTGCCAGACTAGTATTTATATTGGGTGATGATTGAAGGTGTGAAATGAATATTTGGACCATGGGTGGATTGAAACCAGAGACCAACGGTTTGAGAAGTGCTGACTAGGCAACCAGTGTGAATACGATCAAGTGGTAGTGTAGTAGAGAGTCACGAATTCACATGATAGTCGGACAGAATCCTTGGTGATTGAAGTGAAATGAGAATCTGGTCAGCAGTGGTGTGTCGTAGCTCAATTGGTAGAACATCGAACCGGAAACTCGATGGTGGCTGCTTCGAATCCAACTGTGGTCTAGATTTTCATTTCACCTTCAATCATCACCCAGTGTAAATACTATGAAACTAGTAGAATCTCTACAAGTCTCCAAACTCGAACGAAATATGATCACAATCGAGAATGGAATAGGAACTATTATTCACGAAGACAGTTCTTTACTATTTTTCGAATTCCAAGGCTTACACGATGAGAGATGTCGACTGGATCATGAAGTCATAACGACGATTCATTCAAACAAATAGTTTATCAGGTTGAATTTGTTTGTTTGATTGTTTTCGCTTATGGAGAAGAGATGACAATAGAGTTGGAACTTGTCAAGTGACTTCTCACATTCATCCCCGATTTCAACATCTGTTAACTAGTCACACTTGTACTGGTAGAAGTGTGCACGTTACCGTGTTTTTCATTTAATCACCACCTTTGTCATGTTGATATCTTGCTGAACGATTTACTGAGTGTTTCGTGATGAGAATGGATGTTTCTGGGGCATATAATGTTGGTTGAAGTGCCTTTCCAACGTTCTATTTATCACATGTTCTGAATTGTGGTTTTCCTTCAATTTATTTCACCAAGCAAATGAATAACAGTGCTGTTAGGTGATCAATGTACTGTGATCATATCTAGTGTTCGAAAATGACTCTGTATACAATTTCGGACCTGTTGAGTCAGTTGTTGTTCATGTGATAGGCATGTGAACTGTGTCCTAGTTTTTGTTTTACTCGATGTGAATAGACATGAATCTGGATGAAAGATTAGTGTCGTAGAAGACTATTGTTAGTTATGTATTGTATAAATGTGTGAAAGCTACGTGGTGGTGCATTTCCAATCGACTCATTTGTTGAAAACCATGATAGCTTAGTGGGGCATATAAATTATTCATATTCTTCCACCTTAAGGTAACGATGGTCGCACTGAAGGTGTATAAGGATTACAATTACAAATTCCGATGTTAGCTGCTGTGAGGTTCTTGATTTGACACCAGTTAGCCATTTAAATCAACATTTTAAGCAAGGGTTTCTTAGAAACCCCTGGAAAGTCCCCAATTGGAAAGAAGCAGTTTGTTGTGTTTTTTGGTTTTCAGTAACTTTCCAGTTGATGTAATTCTTGAATTAAGTGAAACTTCAATCTGATAAATTTCAAATTAGCTTATTATCGGTAAACTGTTACCTTTAGAACCCTTTCGAAGAATTAAGCATTAATTTTTAACCTTATACAGATATGTAGGACTTTTATAAGGGAAAGTTTCGAAGTTGATGGGTTTCTTCACACATGCGAATATAAATATAAATGAAATTTTCCTTTTTTATTTTGGGATTGTTCATCACAGACATTGCGAAACTCAGACAGCTGGTTTATGAAATGTCAAGGAACTCTAATTTCTAATCTATTTTAGTTTATCAAGGGAGCATGAAAACGCTACAATCAGCCGGTTGTACATGTGAAGTAATAACCTACTGGAAACAACAGGTGAAATTTTCCTACTGTATTTCACTAGGATAAGTACAATGTGTCGAGATTGCAACATAATGAGTATTCGAGGCGTATCGAGGCATTCATATAAGAGCTGACCATCTGCCAACAGATGTCGAGTACTTCAACCCAGTAAAGTAAGGGGAAATTACAAGTTTCAGTGAACAATATGTTCAGACCTTTCAGCTACAGTAACCTATGTCACAAAGTTAACAAAAGCTTTTAAAGAATAATTGCTTGGCACTGAATGGGCAATATTCTACAGAAATTGCAAAGAAATCACTAGTCAGACACAAGAAACAGTTTATCGGTTTTTTTATGACTGAACGTTAAACCAAAATAATTTCTTATTCCCGTGTTTAGGAATACCTAAGACAATCAGCGATCCATCAAAAAGTGCAAACGTAATACCACTTATATGTTAAATTACCATTATGTTGTTCCACAGTCACATTATTAATGAAATAATATTCTCTGTGATTTTTGTAATTTCTCTTTGAATACTCCTTGTTTTCAGTTAGCAGGTCAACTCGATCCTCAAATAGCATCTGCGTTTCACGTTTTTTCCATATTCGATTCAAATGATCATCAAGTATCCTTTCTGGATTCTCCTTGAATTCATCATAAAGGTTATTAGTGTCCTTGAATAATAAATGGGCCCAGGACATTTCAGCAAATATTGGATGAAGCTTTTGAATGATAGTAAAAAAGAAAATTAGGTTAAAGCATTCAATTCATTAGAAACTTCTGTGATATATGAAGAACAGTAAAGTATTGAGTTATGGTCAGAAAAAAATAGTGTCTATGGGTGGCCTATCAAAGTTTGCATCAACATCTTTCCCATCAAATCATTCTATCAGTGAAATTTGGTGTCACAAAACTCCCCTATCTATTAAATATGCGAACAACTTGTATACAAGAGGTAGGAACTAGTTCTATGCTACAATTTTACTAAATACAGATGTCCTCTGCCTCCAGGTTTCAAATTCTTTTTCAGCTGATGACGTTCAACGATAATGTTGATTTAAAATCAATTCGTACAAAACCCATAAGTGAATATTTTCACCAGTTGGAAAACGATTCACAACTGTATACAAAGAATCCAGGTGTTTTTTAACCCGCTTGAAATATTTAACATCTCCTTACTGATTCAACCTCACTTGGTTAACTAGTTCACTAGTTTACTAGCCGGTTCTGAGCCCGGATAAACAGGGAAGGTTGGGCATAGGGCTACCAACCCTACCCCACAAAACCAATACAATCGATAAAGAAACTTCAAAGCACAAACAAAATATTAAAAATAGAAATAAACTTGTTCCACGCTGGAATTAGAGGGACTAAATGACGCCGGTTGGTGAAAGCCTTAGCGAAGCAAGTCGGTGGATGTGACTTCTCTCGATGAAAGCGAAAGTAAGGATGGGGACATGGAATGTCCGCACCACGTATGAACCTAGGAAAGCTGGTCAGATTGCAAAGGAGATGAAAAGATACAGCACAGAAGTGCTAGGAATCTGAGAAAGTAGATGGAATGGAAGTGGACTCTCCAAATTCTCAACTGGAGAGTCAATTATCTACTCCGATATTCTCACGCAGACGACAACCACAAGCACACTGAGTTTTGCAGTGGCTATCATGATGTCGCAAACAACGTCGAAGGCTCTCTCTCATACAGTGGGAACCAATCTCCTCCAGCATCAGGATCATGACAGCAAGATTCAACTCAAAACGAAAGAAATTTACTGTCATACAATGCTACACTACGCACCTACAAATAATGCAGATGAAGAGAAGAGAAGAAGGTGGGATTGTACAGACAACTGGAAGCAGTAGTGGACAAGACTCCACCCCAGATGGTGACATAGAAATTCTGATGGGTGGGGTGATATGAATGTCAAACTGGTAGCGGACAACACAGGAAGGGGACTGGTCATGTGTCGAGAAGCACCCGGTTAAACGGATGTGAATGGAGAACTGTTTGAAGACTTCTGCACATTCAATGATTTGGTGATTGGAAACAGTGTGTACAAACACAAGGATATTCACAAAACGACATGCAGTTGATTTCACCAGACACCACGACACACTTAAATCAGATCGACTTCATCTCAATATGAAGAAAGTGGAGACGCAGCCTACAGGAAACAAGATCAAGAAGGGGAGTAGATGTAGGTTCAGGTCATTCACCACCTAGTGTAAGGAACCTGCCTTCAAAATCAAGCTGGAAGCCTTCACAAAAGCTGGTGATAAACCACAGTTCAAGTTCAACGACCAAACGGAACAGAAACTGAAGAACGAAACTACAGGGGACACCTTCACGTCAGCCATCAGAAAAATTAGAGACATTAAGGAACGTCCCTGAAGAAACCTGTGTGGAAGAACACTGGAAGTCTTTGAAAGAGACATGGAAAGAAACCTGAATGACCGTATCAGGAAGGAAGAAGACGTAAGTCAGGACAAGGAATGTATCTCGATGGACACATGGAAGCTGATAGGGAAGTGAGAAGAAGATGATGAAGCAGAAGATGAACCAGTGCAGTGCAAGGATGCACAACGAAAGGACGAACAGAGTACAGTGTACAAAACACTACACAAGACAAAGAAGTGAAGAGTGCACGGAAAGACAAAAGACACTTCTACGAAACACTTGCAAGTGAAGCAGAAGAGATTGCAGGTAGGAGAGACAGAGACCTGACAACATTGTATCAAATAACCAGGTTGCTATCTGGGAAGAGATCAGCTCAGATGAAACCAATGAAGGATAGTGAAGGACACCTGGTTACCAGAGAGGAGGAACAAGGGAAACGATGGACTGACCACTTCAAAAAACTCTTGGATCAACCACACCAACATCACCTGCAACTCGTCTAGAAATACCACCAGCAACAACAGAATCACCAGTGAACACAAACTCTCCGACAAAGGCAGGAGTGAAGTCCTGAACCCCATAAAGCCGCTGAAATCCGAGAAAGCAGCAGAACTAGATGGAATTCAACCAGAAGCACTGAAAACAGAGGCAGAGACAACAGCGAACATGCTCACACAACCTGCATTACAGAAGGGATGAAAGGTACCTGCCAATCGATTGGAAGAAGGGCTACCTCGTCAAATTCGCAAAGAAGGGACACCGAAATCTTTGCAAGAACTGACGAGGAATCATGCTCCTGTCCCTGTCCACCCCAAGCAAACACAATATTAGGCTGCATCATCCTAGAGATTCTAGAAAATGCTCTGGATTCAAAATGACAACCACAACAGGCTGGCGATAGGAAGAACCAACCATGTGTGGATCAGATTGCAACGCTACGCTACGCATCATCATCATAGAGCAGAGCATAGAACAGTATTCAACTCTCTACCTCAACGTCACCGACTTTGAGAAGGCCTTTGATAGAGTCGATCGAGGAGTAATTTGACAGCTTCTTTTACACTATGGCTTTAGTGCCACAAACCTTTATCAGCCTCATTCAACAGCAATATGTCATATGAAGATGCTGCATGCAAAATGATTCACAATGGAAAGCTTAGTGATGCCTTCGAAAAGAAGGTGGGGTTAAGACAAGGCTGCTTACTATCACCGATCATCTTCTTGATTACGGTCGATTGAATTATGCAAGAAACTGTGAGGAGCTATGAGAAGAGGGCTATATGCTATTTGACCAATGAAAATACCCTAGAAGATTTGGATTTTGTCGCCGATGACGATTTATGTCTAATGTCTTGTTGCACAAACTCGAAGGTCTACAGGTGGAAACTAACAATCTGGCAGAAGTGGCAAGGCAGCGAAGACGGAACTTCAGGTGAACGTAGAGAAGACAGAAGTGATGAAGATACCCAGCCAACAACAAAAACAAGCACCAATCAATATCAACGAAAAAATCCAAAGAAAGTAGTCTCTCGCCTACCTAGGCAAATTAGCATCTTTCCAACTACAGGTGGCGACACACGACGATGCCAAAGTAACCAGGATCAGAAAGACAAGAAGACAGGCCTTCCTGCATTAATCTGAAATCGGTGTGGAGATCTACTCCACTGCACTCCACTGCACCTCCCCGCACTGCACCGCACTCAGCACAAAGCGTGAACAACATCCAGATGTTCAACACCAATATCAGTCAAGTGAGTCAGTGCTTCTATGTGATGGTTGACAGACTTGGTGGCGCTTTACCAAAAGCATTTCCAACATACAACTGCAGCCATTCATCAACAACTGCTGCCTACACTCACTCGATACTGACAGTGAAGATGAGGTGGTCAGAAAGAATAAGCAACAAGGAACTCACTCACTGTAGTCAGACAACCAACCAACAACAACAACCTATCACTCAACAAATATTCAGAGGAGAGTGGAGATGGATTTGATTGGACATACATTAATGAAGAGGACTGATTGGGGATATCAGGTGCCAGGCGATGTTGTCGAGTGGAAGCCGAATGGGAAACGAGGAGTTGGGGATGTGAGGTGAGGGTGATATGGAGGAGATGGTGTGAGGAAGAAATGAAAGCGTGTGGACAGTGGTGGGGGTATGTTGAAAAGACTGGATAGAAGAAAGTGAAATGGTGATGTGCTAGTGAAGCCATATTTTCCGCTAGGAACCCGAGGGACTAATAATAATATTACTGATGCTAATGGACATCAGTGTAGTTAAAACCGATTGGCAGTAATAAAATCTGAGGTTGGCATTCATCGTGGACTGAAATCAGTTGAAGTAATATCGGAAGTCTGGGAGGACTGGACAGATGTTTCATCGTAGTATGGGACTCTTCAGCAATACGCGACCATGACCCCGCCAAGCATCAAACTCAGGACCTTCATGTCCCGCGGTCAGCAAGTTACCGTTGAGCTAACTTGGTGACCGTGAGGGTGATGATCGTGCTACATCATCAACTGACAGAAGTTGAAAATATGGATCTCTGGAATCCGTCCCAGTAGCTAAATGGTAACGTACTGGCCACAGAACTTAAAAGTCTTGGTTTCGAGCCCTGGCGGTGAAGCATCATGGATGCGCGCCGCTGAGGGGTTCCATAGTAGGATGAAACATCTGTCCAGTGCTCCCAGGTTTCCAATGTTCCTCCATGTGATGTCAGTCCACGATGAATACCAACTTGAAAAATCTCTAAACCCCCAAATTAAATTAATGAGACTCTAAAGTTGGTATTCTCTAAAAATCGCTTTTTAAGGTATACTGCTGGTCATTGTGAGTGATCTTATCATAACTTTGCAGTTCATCACCTTGCCTTTTCAGATGACAGGTTGCAGTTCATTGTCCAACTGTAAACTAAATAAAACGAAACATACAATCATGGGCGGGCTTCCATTGAAACTCCATTTTGTTTATGATCTTGTGACAGCTTATATCAGTTTTCGTCCTAGATGATTACCGAAAATGGTCACGAGGACAGTATAATACCCAGAATAAACCTATACAATTCGTGTCACTATTGTAAGCGAAGTTAAAGTAACAAGTTAGTACTGTAGTCTGTTTGATGCCTAGTAGTGGAATCCAGGACGCGTGTTTCTCCCTATTCGAGATTAGTCAGCCGGATACACCTGCACCGCAGTCAGTGGTGTTGTTGCCATCCAGACTTAAACCCAGTACCCACTGTTTCAAACGTCAAAGGATTATTCATTAGGTCGCTAGATATATCTAGCTGACAAGTCCTGAATGGGAAGAAACGCACGTCATGAATTTCGCTGCTAATCATCAAATAGACTACAGAATAATGAATATCTAGGGAGTATCGAGGCATCCGTTTAAGAGGTTCAGGAATTCGAACCAGTGTAGCAAATGGAAATTAAAAGTATCAATAAATAACGAGTTAATACTTCAAAACATTTTTGTTGTCATTAGTATGAAACCACGTATTCTTACATGGGTTCCAAACTGATCCCCGTGATAAAATGTATTCCCTATGGTACTTATTAACTATTATCAACATTTTAGCGCTGAATGGTTTGCTCTGCATCTTCTTGTTTCATGTTGTATGCACCAATACACTCTAATGACACAGTTTTTTTAAACGTAAAATAGAATCATTCAACTGAGTATTGAATTTTTCAGCCCTATATCTGGACATAAATCTGAATAAAACTGACAGTGGTGATGGAAATTCGTCGGTGTTTACTTAACAAGACCTTGAGATCAATTTAAACTTTTTTTCACAATTTAATTATGTATATAAATATATATATACAAAGGTTTGCGTCATCTGGGATAAAACATTAGCCCCGTAAAGCTGTAAAACTTAAAAGCGCTATCAGCACTGTCTTCAATAATACATGAACACTAGAAGCAATACTGACATGCAGCTTGATGAGACTAAGTATCATCTTTCAGACAAGCAGTCTTCGTAGGATAAGGGACGAAATTAGAACATAGTTTTTGGATGGTATGCTTCATTCAATTAATAATAAGTTGCAAAAAGAAGTAGGAAATATGGACGATTGGATTCCGACCCAGTGGCTAAATGGTAAAATGCTGGCTGAAGGACCTAGAGGTCCTGGGTACGATCCATGGTGTATACTGCTGCAGAGTCCCGTACTAAGACCAAACATATGTCCAGTGCTCCCTTTAGGTTTCCAATGTTGCTCCAACTGATATCAATCCATGACAAATTAATAATAAGTCATATATTAAGCAATTTGTACTAATATAGTGAAACAAAACAATTACCTTGTCTCGATTTGTATGAATTTCATCATTATTTGATAGCGACCTTTGTTTCTTTGGTGAAGTTAGCCCTGTAACTCCATTATTGGCAGTCTTTGTTGGTTCAACGAATGTAGAAAGTGATATACCAGCTAAGATATCTTCCAATTTCGATATATTCTTCTGTATCATTAGTTCACTTAATTGTTGTTTCTGTATTCCACCATCTGTTTGTACCTCTGAATGAATCTCAAATGTAGCATTACAATCGGGTAAAGTGAAAGTTTCTGGTTGATTGGTTGCATTATTACTATAGCAGGATGATTCATGTTTCGGAAGCGATAAACTGTTAGAAGGTGGTAGTGAGGTAGGTAGTGAATTCGATGTCAGGAATGAAGATGGTGTCAAATACTGATTCTGATCGTGATCACAAAGGATTGAAGTCCTGCTTGAAACATAAAATAAATTCTATGATGTTAGTTAAGGTGTTTTCGTAGAATTTCAGTATTTAGGTTGGTTAAGGCTATTAGTATTACTTCTAAGGAAATCTTTTGTGTGAAACAGACCAACGATAGAGACTAGGAAGCGATGATATAAGGAAAACCATGCTATACCCTTTGCACAAAGAGTGGTTATCATAACTTAGAAATGACGCTCTGGCGTTTGAGGAAATCGATTCTGAGTGAGAATGATGTCATTGACCGGAAGACAGGCACACTCAGCTGACGAATCCCAAATAGGACCTAAAGTGCATCCTGGATTCCACTCGTAGCCACTATCCATTATTAATATCGAAAGTAAAAATACCAGCAGTATCGAAGCATCCACACAGATCGGTCTGAGTAGTTTCTAACTATTCAAAGTTGTTCTATGTACATTTCGTTAGTTAATGCCGTTTTTGTGTCAGAGATCACAGCTTGTGATCTTGGCTGGGTGGTCATCTTTTTGACATCAGAGTTAACCAGTTAAAAACTACTCTCAACTGTCAGAAATGTCAATGTAGATTGTACAACTTATAAATCATTGGCAGATTGGTCATCCTATTAACAATATTACTTCCAAATACCCGGCCAATTAATCTTTATTATCCCTCCCTTTTATATAAGTTTATTAGCCAGATGCAGTACATATATTCTTAATAATGATTCAGAGTTGTAATATACTTTCTCGGTGATTCGCAGGATTAAACGAATCATACTTGCATTAATATATGATCTGCCTTTACGGATCCGTTAAAATAATCAGCAGTAATGGAAATTTGGCTATAAATCGTAAGCAAACACATTTTGCTGACTGGATTTACAAGACAAACACACTATAAAAATCTAGTTATCAACATCTCAATGTTAACCATGCATATCACAACATTAAAATCAAATAGAAGAAGGTTAATATAAATCACTAGACAACAACCTAGTGACTCAAAGGTAACTCACTCATCACAGAGTCTGAACGCCTTCAGCTCATACCCTAGTGGAAATTAAAAAGTTCTCATACTACAAAGAAATAGATGTTCAGTATCCCCAGGTTTCCAATGGCTCTCCATGGTTCTCAGTCCATGGTGAATAACACCATGAAATTATCATTTGGATATCTGAAATAGCTTTAGTTTGCCAGACTAGTATTTATATTGGGTGATGATTGAAGGTGTGAAATGAATATTTGGACCATGGGTGGATTGAAACCAGAGACCAACGGTTTGAGAAGTGCTGACTAGGCAACCAGTGTGAATACGATCAAGTGGTAGTGTAGTAGAGAGTCACGAATTCACATGATAGTCGGACAGAATCCTTGGTGATTGAAGTGAAATGAGAATCTGGTCAGCAGTGGTGTGTCGTAGCTCAATTGGTAGAACATCGAACCGGAAACTCGATGGTGGCTGCTTCGAATCCAACTGTGGTCTAGATTTTCATTTCACCTTCAATCATCACCCAGTGTAAATACTATGAAACTAGTAGAATCTCTACAAGTCTCCAAACTCGAACGAAATATGATCACAATCGAGAATGGAATAGGAACTATTATTCACGAAGACAGTTCTTTACTATTTTTCGAATTCCAAGGCTTACACGATGAGAGATGTCGACTGGATCATGAAGTCATAACGACGATTCATTCAAACAAATAGTTTATCAGGTTGAATTTGTTTGTTTGATTGTTTTCGCTTATGGAGAAGAGATGACAATAGAGTTGGAACTTGTCAAGTGACTTCTCACATTCATCCCCGATTTCAACATCTGTTAACTAGTCACACTTGTACTGGTAGAAGTGTGCACGTTACCGTGTTTTTCATTTAATCACCACCTTTGTCATGTTGATATCTTGCTGAACGATTTACTGAGTGTTTCGTGATGAGAATGGATGTTTCTGGGCATATAATGTTGGTTGAAGTGCCTTTCCAACGTTCTATTTATCACATGTTCTGAATTGTGGTTTTCCTTCAATTTATTTCACCAAGCAAATGAATAACAGTGCTGTTAGGTGATCAATGTACTGTGATCATATCTAGTGTTCGAAAATGACTCTGTATACAATTTCGGACCTGTTGAGTCAGTTGTTGTTCATGTGATAGGCATGTGAACTGTGTCCTAGTTTTTGTTTTACTCGATGTGAATAGACATGAATCTGGATGAAAGATTAGTGTCGTAGAAGACTATTGTTAGTTATGTATTGTATAAATGTGTGAAAGCTACGTGGTGGTGCATTTCCAATCGACCTAACTTTGACGAACCAAAAGAGCCACAAGTATGCTTACATGACTCTGCTTTAAACATAACCTTGATTCAGTTATTTGTATTACGTTTTCGAGCTTCCCAACTTTTATCTTCCTGAAGTTTTTCTAACTCTATGATTGCATTTTATTAGCATTTTTATGTGAGTCTTAAATTACTACTTATTGGCTACACTTACAAGTTGATATATAAGATGGTTAGTTTTATTGCGTAAAAGTTTTACTTCTTGACTATACTAGATTACTTCCCTCTTGAACAAAATTTTACTGACTGAGATCTTTTTTAGCATGATTGACATACAAGAAAGTTAAGTTTCTAACCGGTTCAAACACTGAATGAATAATGATGTACAAAACATACTTCACATTTCAATGAGATATTAATCACAGACTGACATAAGTTGTGCTACCAAGGAGAACCTGAGAGCATTTTTCTTGGTAAGTCTTTGAATAAGAATATCAAGAAATTTACTATTATATGAATAGGACTTAGAAACTGTTGTTGGGTGTATACATAAATTGAATAATTCCTATTGTAACATCTAGAACAACACATTCATCGAAGAGACTCTTTTCAATGAATTTATTTTCACGCTGAACATTCGTATATATATGATATTTAAAATCATATCCCGTGAGAAAAACTAAACATTATATAATGATGATGATAATAATAAAATGGATGATGACATAGATATTTGTAGTATTATTGCTTGTATTATACCGTCGTCGATTGGACCGAATTGATCGGTCTCTGTTGGCATATAGGCTCGTGCGAGGATGCCTCGATATTGCCTGTTTTAATTCTATATAATAATGATGGATAGTAGTTAGCAATGGAATCCAGGATGCGCATTTCGTCCCCTTTGCTAATCATCAGCCGAATGCACTTTCCTCTCAGTGGGTGATGTTGTTCCCACCTGGATTAGAACTCGGGAACGATGGCTTCAAACGTCAGAGTGTTATTCACTAGACCGCTGAGCTACAGGTATAGTTTTAGTATTATTCGGTCCAATCAACAATGGTATAATACAAGCAATAATAATAATAATAGCGGTAAAGGAAGGATACAAAGGTTAAATTAACAAAGTGGGAGGGGCAGCTAATGGAGGTGGGAAAATGCCATGGCCATAATAAAAACGGTGACTGTACATACTTCTTTTGTACACACAGATCAGGTATGGGTTCATGAATAGCTAAAGCCTCCACTGTTTTAAGCAGTCGAAAACGTTTCGTCCTATTTGAGAGTCGTCAACAGGGGTCGACCAGTTCGATGCAGTGCATCAGCGGGAAATTACAAGTAACGATAAACAACAACTGACATCCATTCCAAAAGATGTAGCCATCGTGTCTGAAGCAATGGCTACTGAGTTCGATTCCCATTGGGTTGGGAGGTACATCCAGATGACGAGCCCTAAGGAGGATGAAATTCTCACCCTGCATTCCAATTAGACTCCAAGTTTCCTTTGTATTTATAATTAGGTACTCAAAGGGGAAGGAAATAAAAACAACCACACTTCATTTTCCACTTGAGAAACAAAAAGCGATTCAGTCATTCCATTATCTTAACACGCTTTGCTGCCCTCCCATTCTCCTGTTTTCTGTATTTACCAAGTTGATAGTTAATTTTAGCAATTACCTTCAATGATATATTTGTTTAATTACATCTCTGAATGTGTGTGTTGTTGTCCTGTTGTGTGCTTACTGTTACAATAATGTCTGTATGTGTGCCTACCTCAAATGAACAATAGAAGAATAACTGTGACTTATTTATTGTACTAGGACTGTTGTTGGCTTCCTACCACATAACCTGTTTCCATTTGCCTGCTTCTTATTTTCCAATTGTTAAATGTGCTTTTCTCATTTCCTGTTGTTCTTATATAGTTCATGATTAGATTTGATGATTGAACAATTTCCTGTCAATCAATCATTTAGACATATGCCTGCACAGATACACACTCAGAGGTACATACGATGGCTTCTATCCTAAATAGCTCAATCATGTCAATGTATCACACCATATTCATCCTGAAATACAGGATATAATTTGGTTTTTACAATAATAATAAAATATAAAAAATAAACTCAAGTTGATGGCTTTTTTGTGTTCAGCTAATTCGAAGATGGTTTTCAAGTGATCTTTCATCTATTGAAGAAGTAAGGAATGACAGAGAACAACTTAAAATCGTTACTTCTTAGAATACTTGACTTTGATGACTTGTCAGATGATACCTGAAACCTTAAGGTTCTTTAATGAGTACATTATAGTTGTTTAACTGAAAGAATAACTGATAATCAAGACTTTTAGGTTAGAATTCATCATGGGCTGACATCATTTGGATAAATATTGGGAACATTTGAAAAATTAATCTGGTATTCATCAGCGACTAGCTTCCAGGGGCGATTCCCGAAGTTCCAGTGCGAAGTCGTGACCAATGGAATCAATCAAGTCGAACATGAGGACAGTTAGTCAACGATAACATTGGATGTAGGTCGCACTATATCGTGAACTGACAGAAGTTGGAAATATAGATCCTTGCATTCCGACCCAGCGGATAATCGGTAACGTGCTGGCAGCGGGACCTGAAGGTCTCGGGTTCGATCCCTGGTGGGGTGGGGTCATGGGCGCTTACTGCTAGGGAGTTTCGTACTAGGACGAAACAGCTGTTCAGTACTCCTAAGTTTCCAATGTCCCTCTAAGTGATATCACTCCAGAA